TAACTGAAAATTTGTATCTTTTGACCAATAGCTCTCTTTTCCCCATCCCGTAGCCCCTGTTAACCACAATTCCACTCTCTGCTTCTAGCAGTTCAATTTTTTTAGATTCCACATATAAGCAAGATTATGAAATATTTAATTTTCTGTGTCTGGTTTATTTCACTTAGCATAATGTCCTCCAGGTTTCTCCTTATTCATGTTTTCACAAATGACAGGATTTCCTCTTTTATGGCTAAATATTATTCATGTGTGTGCACATGCACATGTGCATATATACACTACTTTTTCTTTATCCATTCATCTGTCAACAGACAAAGGTTGTTTCCATATTTTGGCTATTGTGAATAATGTTGAAATGAACATGGAAGTTCACATATCTCTTTGAGATCCTGATTTCATTTATTTTGGACATATACCCAGAAGTGGAATTGCTGGATCATATGGTAGTTCTATTGTAAATTTTTTTATGAACCTCCATACTGTTTTCTATAATGACTGTACGAATTTGCATTCCTACCAAAAGTGTACAGGGGTTTCCTTTTCTCCATACCTTCAACAATACTTGATATCTTGTCTTTTTGAGACTTGCCATCTTAACATGTGTGAGGTGAAATCTTGTGATTTAGTTTGGCATTTCCCTGATGATTAATGATGTTGAGCACATTTTCATATACCTGTTGGTCATTTGTATGTCTTCTTTGGAGGAACGTTGACTCAGATCTTGTGCCCATTTTCTAATCAGGTTGTTTTTTTGCTATTGAGTTGTATGAGTTTCTTTTATATTTTGGATATTAATCCCTTATCAGATATGTGATATCAGATATCAGATAAGTGGTTTGTAAACCCACTAGATCTGGGTCATGGGCTGCTTTAGGGCCCACAGCTGGAACTGAGGTTAGCAGGCTTGTCACTTGTGGCTCCTCCTGTTGTCCCCTGATGGTGTTGGTGGTAGAACTAAGACCAAATGGGGCTTGCAACCCAGAATTCTGATGACCACTTATGCCCTTGGGAATCTCCTTGTTTCCATTTGGAAAATGTAAATAATTCTCACTCTTTTCTTTCCATTTCCTCTCATTCTTTGTGGGAAATGCTGTTAAAAGTATTCAGTGTCCTGTATGTGAAGAAAGAACATAGGCCTCTTTTTAACAACAAAAAAAGAAAAGAAAAAGTGGTGAGAATGGACATCCTTGCCTTGTTTCCCTTCTTAGATGGAAAGCATTCATTCCTTCACTATTAATTATAGTGCTACCCGTAGGATTTTTGTGGATGCTCTTTATCAACTTGAGGGCGTTCTGTATTTCTGGTTTTCTGTTTTTTTTTTATTATTATATGAGTGTTGAATGTTATAAAATGGTTTTTCTGCATCTACTGATGAGCTATATGACTTCTTTCATCTTGAATGTGGTGGAGGTGATTTTCAAATATCAAATGAGACTTGCATCTCTGGAATTAACCCCTTTGTCATGTTGCATACTTCCTTATACTCACTTCTGAATTCTATTTTCTAGTATTTTATTAAGAATTTTTCATCTGTATTCCTGAGGTATGTTGGTCTGTGGTTTCTCTTTTCTTTCTTCTTCTCCCTTTTTTTTTTTTTTTGGCACTGTCTTTATCTGGTTTTAATATTAGGGTAATACTAGCTTTATAAAGTGAATTGGGCAGTATTTCCTCCTCTTCTGTTTTCTGAAAAAGATTGTATGAAATTGGTGTTAATTTTCTTTGCACATTTGGTAAAAGTCATTATGTAATGTCCCTCCGGCCTCTGATAATTTTCTTTGCTCTAAAGCCTACTTCATATGATACCCTTCCCTTAATAAATTAATAAAAGCTATACTTTTATTAATGTTTATGTGATGTATTTTCCCCATCTTTTTACTTTTGTTTCACCTATATCTTTATATATGAAGTGAATTTCTTATAGACAACATACGGATGGATCATGTTTTTTTAATCCACTCTGCTAATCTTTGTTTTTTACTTGGTTTATTTAGACCATTTACACTTAATATAATTATTGATGTGTTAGGACTTGGGGCTACCTTTTTATTTTTTGTCTTCTCTACATTCTCTTTCTGTTTTTCATTTCTGTTTTCTTTTCCCCAGCTTCATGTGGGTTGAACATTTTTTAGAATTTTATTTTAATTTATTTATAATATTTCTGTATATATCTCTTTTTATAGCTATTTTATTGATTGCTCTAAGGATTACATTTTATCACAGTCTACTGGATCAACGTTTTGCCAGTTTTTATGAAGTGTATAAACCTTACCTCTTATATCCCTTTACTGTTCTCAACTATGATTTTCTTAAATATTGTTTTTATATTCATTTAGAACTATATCAGAGAGTGTTATAATTGTTGCTGCAACTCTAAATACAATTTTGAAAACCCAAGAAGAGTAGGAAAGCTTATTGTATTTACCTGTATATATCTATTTTTATTTCGTCTTTCCCACAGATCTTGAGGTTCTGTTCAGATTGTTTTAAGTCTATTTCTTCTTTGTCATTCATATTGTTTAATTTCTGTTTTTGTCTTCAGGTTCACTGATTTTTTTTCTGTTTCCTCCATTCTGCTGTTGAACCCATCCATTGAGTTTTTATTGTCATTTTATTTCTTGGTTCAAAATTTCCATTCTAAAAAAATCTATTTCTTTGCTGAGACTTTATTTCTTTTCATTTGTCTCTGTGTGTTCATAATTGCCTATTGAAGCATGCTTATAATGGCTACTTTAGAATCTTTGTCAAATAATTCTAATACCTGTGTCATTTCGGCATTCTCATCTATTAATTATCTTTTTTCATTTGAGATTTTTCCTGGTTCTTAGTATAAGAAGTGACTTTAGATGGTAACCTGTACATTTGAGGTATTATGAGACTCTGGATCTTATTTAAATCTGTTTTAGGGTGCTTTGTCTGATCCTGTTCTGAGAAGAGAAGTGGAGGGAGTAGGGCAGGGGGGTGGAGGTTGTTACTGCCAGGTGGAGGAAGAAGTCCAAATTCCCCACTTGGCCTCCATTAATGCTTAGGGGGAAAGGACTCCTTGTAACTGCTAGGTAGATGTGAGTTCCAGCTTCCTGTTAAGCCTCCACTGATATCACCCTTGCTGGGAGGGCCAGGGGTGCTGCTTCCCACATGGCTTCTACTGAGAGGACTGGAAGAAGGTGTGAGGATAGAGGGTAGCCAGGAGTACTGGTTACTGATGTCGGGCGGGGGGGAGGGGGTTGGGGGAGGATTGAAGTCCAGGCCCCCAGGTGATCTCCATTGTCATGGTGTGTGTGTGTTGGGGGTTGGGGGGTTGATCAGGGAAGGCTCATTATAAGCCTGCAGGGATGGAAGTCCCAACATTCTATCCTGCCTTCTCTCACACCACCCCACCTGGGCTATCGAGATTTTTTATTACAGCCTGATAAGAGTGCAAGTCTGAGCTCCCTACTCACCCTTTTCTGGTGTATATGATAGTGAGTCACAGGTTTTTCTGTGATGTTTGCCTAGATTAGAGCAGTCATTTTCTGAAAGTTTTGTATTATACTAGGCTATTCCTTTATTAGTCTTTAGTTGGAGAGAGTAAGCTTTTGTAGGAGACTTTTTTATCTGTACCCATTGCTGTATCAGGTTGCCATCTTCTTCAGTTTGAAGTCTGGCATATAAGAAAACAGAAAACCCGGGAACTCACCACTGTGTTGTTCCTTAGGTCTCAAGGTTTCTAGGGCTTCGCTGGTATGCCTTCTTTTTTCCACCTCAGTGTCTAATGTTTAGTTGATATGGAATGTTAGGCATTTTAATTGTGCTTCAGAGGATAAATTAGGGAAAAGTATGTCTACTCCCACCTTCCCAGAAGTAGAAGTCCTAAATTTTCCTTAATGTTAAGCAGCACTACCTTCTTTAAGGAATGAGTGTTGAAGATGTCAAATCAGATGTCTGAAAGGGACCAGGAGAATTTTGTCTGTTATGTCCCCACATTACTTTTCAACTTAAATGTGAAGCATTTCTGTGACTGTGTTCTATTTGATAGTGAAGGTAGAAGCTCCTTTGGGTCTTGATGTCATGTTCTTTGAAAGATTAGAGCTGTCAAAGTGTCTGAAGATTTCATTTGTAAATAACATTTTAATGTCTGGGCAATTCTTGATCCTGTTGAGTCTTTGCTCACTCCCTGCATTTCTCCAAGGCCATCATCTACCAGAGTAGGAGACTTGAGGGAGCTCAAGCCCAGGCAGTGACATGGCGTTCTTCCATTCCCCGTCTCCTGACACAGACTTGCACTGGAAAAGTAAAATTAATTCCATTGACATTCCCTCTTGAGCATGTGAGGGTGGGTGTCCCTTTTGTTTGTTTGTCTGTTTGTTTTATTGAAGTATAGTTGACATACAATATCCCATTAGTTTCAGGTATGTAACATAGTGCTTTGGTAGTTCTGTGCATTACACAGTGCTTACCATGATAGGTTACCATCTGTCATCATACAAAGTTTTACAATATTATTGACCATGTCCCCCATGTGGTGCTTCTTATCCCCATGACTTACTCATTTTATAACTGCAGGTTTGTACCTCTGAATCCCCTTCACCCATTTTGCCCATCTCCCCACCCCAAGCCCAGCCCCTCTGGCAACTACCAGTTTGTTTTCTGTATTTATGAGACTGTTTTGTTTTTGTTTGTTTGTTTCTGTTGTTTTTAGATTCCATATTTAAGTGAGATCATATGGTATTTGCCTATCTTTGTCAGACTTATTTCACTTAATATAACACTCTCTAAATCTATTCATATTACAAATGACAAGATCTCATTCTTTTTATGGCTGAGTAATATTCCAGTGTATATATGTACCACATTTTCTCCATTCATTCATCTGTAGCTGTCACTTAGTGGCCTAACTTAGTTTTATCTGTCCATAGAGGTAAGTCATTGCCCTTTGTATTCCTGATTTAGCAAGAACATGAGGGAAATCCAACATTGTAAATAAACTCTAACTGTAAACTATTATATTTCTTTCTCTTTTTCAGGCAAAAACTTATTGTACCAAATGGAAGTTGCCCTGTTATTCTGAATACTTATTTTTGTGAGAAAGTTGTTGCCAAAGAAGATTCAAAAATAATACATGAAGCACACTGTTGGGACACACTCCTTCCAAGAAGTATCACTTTGGCTCAGATGTTTAGATTTAGGAATCTAACATATAAATCACCTGAAAGCCAGGTAAATTTTCATTTGTTTTAGATGTTTTATGCTTTGTAATAATATTGGACTTGAAAGGTATAAGCAAAGATGTTTACCTTTGGTTCCCCTTCAAATATTCAGTAAATATATATGCTAGAACATCTTGTTATTATTGTTATGCCTGAAGAAAGTATGAAGTGGCTCAGTATTTGGTAGTAGTCTTTTCATAGTATTTCATCTATATAATTGTGTTTTTTTAATCTTTATTCTAATCCATCAAAATATATGATTTTTTATTTTTTATTCTCATTTTGTAATTGTGTAAGAATTTTGCTTAAGCCTTTTACTTATCAGAAAAGTCATTTTTTTCTTTTTCACAGTATCTGTATCCCTTGGGATAAAAAGAACTGCATAAACTTGAAATTATATGCTGTAGATTGGTTTTTGAAATTTTATTGGCCCTGAGTCATGATCATTTGCCAAGATATATTTAGGGAACCATTAAATTTCACTCATAGAAGGCAGGAAGGGCACTCCAAGGATCATTCCAGGCTCTAAGTGTCTATGACTCCATGTGCACCATCTCAGGTTCACCCAATTAGCTGAATCAGCACTGAACAGAATGCTAAGGCTGACAGATCGTGTGAGGGGATATAAGAAAAAGAAAAGTGGGGGTGCCTGGGTGGCTCAGTCGGTTAAGTGTCTGCCTTCAGCTCAGGTCCATTAGGCTCCTTGCTCAGCAGGGATCCTGCTTCTCCCTCTGCCTGCTGCTCCCCCTGCTTGTGCTCTCTTTCTCTCTGACAAATAAATAAATAAAATCTTAAATTAAAAAAAGAAAAAAGTATACAAACTTGCATCTTGTTTGTAAATGTTTCAACAAGCATACTCTCCCTTTGATTATCAAAAGAAGTATCTGAAGGGCATAATGGGGAAAAGAGGGCTCTCTAATTAATTTAATTTATGAGTCAAAGGGCATTACTGCTTTAACATTTAGTTGTAAATAGCTATTGATACTAAATTCTTGAGAGAACATTTTTGTCTTAACAACAGTGACAATGAAGCTGCAGTATAACATCATGGTTATGAATATAGGCTTTAGAACCAGGTATCCTGGTTCAAATTCTGCCTCAACCACTTATTGCTGAGTAACACTGGGCAAGATACATAATTTTTCTGTGTTTTGATATTTTTATCTTTAAAATGGTAATAATGATATAATCTACCCACTTGGGTAGTTATGAGGTTAAATACGTTGGTTATATAAGTACAGTACATAAAGAAAAGTACCTGGAATGTCCTCTAGAAGTGTTACCTTACTATGATATTTAATATTATTGTAAAGGGTTGTTGGGAGGCTACATGAGCCTGTAAAGTGTCTAGCCTAGTAGACTGCACACAACAAGCACTTAATAATGACTTAATTTTGAAACCCTAGTCATTCTTTTGTTTTTTAGTGTCCTGTTGGGATTGTTTATCTCATAAAAGAAAAATTTTCTAGATTACCATGAAGTATTGTAATAGCAGGACTTTACATGTTTTCAAAGACCCAAAATGATCTTTGCTTCTCCTGATTGGAAACACTCTGCTGTTCCCATGTTATCTTGCTTACCTTGCCCTCCTCAACAGCATTAGTTACCTGGCAGACACAGAGGCACATGCAATGTCTTATCTTTATCATTCCTTTCTTGTTCTGCAGTTACGTCAGAAGATTGCCTCATAATGTCATGATTTGGTACATACCATGCTGTTATGAGTTAAACTGAAATTGTTCCCTTTGCATGTCTTGGCCAGGTTATGTGTAGTGGTCTCACTACAATGTGGACAGACTGCACCCATGGACATGAGGAAGCCAAACAGCGCTTCCCAGCCCAAGCTCTCCTGAGGGATTCTCTCCTGGATGCAGTGGAAAGCCAGGGAGCTGCCACATGGTCAGGAGTTGGGGTCCGAGTAGTGGTACAGAGAGTTTACTATCTTCCCTGCAGATATCAGCAGGGAGGTGGTTCAGCTGCTCCACCTGGATCAGACTTACCTAGAGTTCGGTGAGTAATTAAGACACAGGCATGGGTGCTAGGGTCATTTAGAGAAAGTAGAGACTCTTCCTAGAGAAAGTAGAGACTCTTGGCTGCATTCACCATATATGTGAGTTTTTATTTTTTATGTTTTTTTCTTGCATCAAAATTTGGGACACGTGTGACAGAGGAGTCTGTTTATTTAATATAAAAAGTCCTACTAAAAATTTAATTTGTTACATTTACTTTTACCTTTAATGGTTCATGTTACTGGAAGTAATATAGACAGGAAATACTGGTCTTCTAGAAAAGCCAGGACATAGGGTTACCATACCTAAAATGACCACTGCAGTTATCTGTCAAGGTTTATGTATCTTAAAAACCTAAGTAAATAAATGGCAGTTAGTAAATCTATGGCTTTCAAAGAGTGCTATTCTAACCTATTTCAGCACTACCTAATAGAACTTTCTGCAATGATGTAAATGTTGTATGTTTGTACTATCCAGTGAGGTAGTCACTGACCACGTATGGTTACTGAGCATTCAGAATATGGCTAATGGGACTGAGGAACTAAATTTCAAGTTTTATTTAATATCAATTAACTTTAAGTAGCCCCATGTGGCTAGTGGCTACCTTGGTGGACAGCGCAGCTACATGAGCCAAACCCATAATTCAAAGTACTTTGCTCATACTAACTATGGGGATGATATCTTCTTTTACTTGTATTTATGCCCTTTCTGTGTTTTTTCAAATAGCTATAGTCATGTCATTGACTGAAGAGTTTATTTATGTCAGAGCCTTGGTATAACCTTTTGAGGTTATATTACTTTCTATTTGAAACTGCCCTCAAAGCAGTGAGATGGACTTATAATAGAAATTAAAAGTATAGGGGCGCCTGGGTGTCTCAGTCGTTATGTGTCTGCCTTCAGCTTGGTCATGATCCCAGGGTCCTGGGATCGAGCCCTGCATCAGGCTCCCTGCTCTGTGGGAAGCCTGCTTCTCCTCTCCCACTCCCCCTGCTTGTGTTCCCTCTCTCACTGTGTCTCTCTCTGTCAAATGGATGAATAAGGTCTTTTAAAAAAAAAAAAAAGGAGCGACAAGAAACATTTGTGTTAATTATGAATCCTCTTCAGGTGGGTGGCACTTTATTTGAAAGTCCTATGAATTTCAAAAAGTCTCTTTAGGTGTAGAGTTAGAGAATATTTCTTTTGGATTTATAGGAAAAATTTTAATTTTATTTTGTTTGGAATATGTGTATGTCTGAAATGATTCTATCAGTTTTAGGGTTTTTAACTTACAGGTGTAGACCAGTCTTGTAGTCTTTAACTTAAATCTGTGGTAAACCTAAATAGATCTGAGCCAGTTATAGATCAGACATAGGTTTTATTTTATGTATTTTGTGGAATGTATCCAGCCTTAGGCTTTGGAGAAGGAAATACTGGACAACCTAAGCAATGATGATCTTGGTAAAGCTTCTCCAGCTCAGCACATAGACCACACACTCAGAGGAGATTGGGGACAGCAGGGACTGAGTCACAATGATGAGAAAGCAAGGCAAAACTGACAATGAGGTTGCTTCCTTATGAGTAATCACAAGCAATGGACACCTTGAATCCTGTCCCTCTAGCTCCTTTGGTGGTACTTGTTTTACTTGTTAAGCAGAAAGAATTTGAAGCTAACTTCTGGTGAATTGCTGCCAATGGCTGGCATTATGAATGTTTTGGATTTGTACCTTAAACATACACTGGAACATATCACATGAGACTGTGCTAAGTTGTGGATTGAAAAAAGGCCAGGCATAAACCTCAAAAACAAGAAAATAACTTGTTATTTTCAGTTATTCAGCTGTAATTAAATATGCATTGTGTGTTCCTGTAGCACACATGAGATTATACAATGCTGAGGGTAGAGGATATTAGTCCCATTTCACAGATGAGGAAACTGAGCCTCAGAGAGGTTCTTACTTGCTGACAGTTACACAGGTGGACAAAAAGAATAACATCATAAGATATAGAATCCCAAACATGTCAGGGTTGTACAGAGTATGGAGCTGAAAGAAAGGGGATAAAATTGAGTTAGGACCAAGCTGTGATTGATTAAGATTAAGCCTGACTGGGGGGGTCAGGTCATCCTGGGCAGCAGGAGTAGTGAAAGTACCCAGTCATTGGGGAGAATTGATTGGATTGTGTTAAGAAAATGAACCTTTGAGCCTTCCGGGAGCGCCGAGGTGCGCCTGCGCGGCACCGGGTCCCAGCAGGCACTTTGAATTTCGCTCCCGGAGTCGCGTCTCGCGATCCTGGGCTTCCAAGACTGGGTCTTGACGGCTCGCGATACTGCAGCGAGTGGCGCTTTGCTCCCGGATCCGCGCCAGAGGCTTAAAGGATGGCCTCCTCAGATCTGGAACAATCATGCTCTCATATTAATGAAAAGATTGCCAACATTAAAAGAACTCTGTTACTAAGAAATTGTGGTCAGGAACCTACCTTGAAGACTACATTAGATAAAATAGGAGATGAAATCATCGTAGTAAATGAACTTGTAAAAAATTGGAATTGGAGATTCAATATCAAGAACAAACCAACCATTCACTCAAGGAACTCTGAATCTCTTGAAGAGGATTATAAAGATGTGGAGCATCTCAAAGAAAACATTCCTCCCCATTTGCCTCAAGTAACAGTAAGCCAGAACTTTGCTAATGTGTCAGATCTTGACCCTGAAGAACCAAAGTTGAGGAAACTGTACCCACAAAGAAGCCCCCAAAAGAACAAAGAAGTATTAAAGAAATGCCGTTTATAACTTCTGATGAATTTAATGGCATTCCAGTGTACATGAAATCTCGCTTAACCTATTGTCAAATTAATGATGTTATTAAAGAAATCAACAAGGCGGTGGTTAGTAAATATAAGATCCTACATCAACCAAAAAAGTCAATGAGTTCTGTGGCCAGAAATCTCTATCACAGATTTATTGACGAAGAAACAAAGGATACCAAAGGTCGTTATTCCATAGTGGAAGCTGACATAAAGGAGTTCACAGCTTTGAAAGCTGACAAGCGGTTTCACGTGATCCTGAATATCTTACGACACTGCCGGAGGCTCTCAGCGGTCCGAGGGGGGGCCTTACCCGATACCTTATAACCTGAAGCCTGTGGGTTTTTTTGAACTGGCTAACAATAGGGTGTAGAGGCCGCTCACATAGTTTCCTTATATGTAATTTCTTTATATATAAAATTTCTTTGGCTTTTTCATTTTCTTTTCTAGCTTCCTATAAAAACGAAACATTTTAGTAAGTAAAGCATATATATTTTAAAATTCACTTTCTTTCAGCACATATTTAACCCCCTACCACATGAGCCTCTGTGCTAGGCATATAATGGAACTAAAAAATATTCATGGTTAGTTTTTGTGTTTAGTGACAGTGCTGTAGACCTCAGTAAGACAGATACACATGTGATAATGGAAGGAAAAGGTCAAGAAGATAAGGTCAAGGGTACCCAGGCTTTTTTTTTTAAGTAGTCTCCACACCCAGCATGGAGCTCAGCATGAGGCTTGAACTCACTCCTGAGAGCAAGACCTGAGCTGAGATGAAGAGTCAGAATAAGCCACCCAGGTGCCCCAATGAGACTCAGGCTCTTTAGAATTAAAGGTCGTTAATGTCAGAATTCTATCAATGGCATTTCAGTCTACAGGCAAAAGTTGGATTTGTAGGCAGCCCTTCCATGTAATGATTCTGCTTTCCCATATATTGTTAGGGAACAGCTTACCTGAAATGCATTTGGTATAAACCAATCTATAAACATCAACCTGTAATGAAATTGTAATAAAAATATACTGAGATGAAAAAGATAAAAAAAAAAAAAGAAAATGAACCTTTGAACAGAAAATCATAGCATTTGAGCTTGGGTTTGAGGACAAGGCTTCTGAGATGTCTTTTGGGTACACAAAGGTATTATTGTAAAATTGATTATTAATATTTTCTAGACTCATAATGCTATAATAATGATCAAGTTCCAGTTTACAAACAAAATTAATATAGAAGTAGAATTATACTTAATCCTGTACTAATTCTTTGCATATAAAAGCGTTAAAATATTTGCTTTGGAGGATCATTTAGAAACATGTTTGCTAATGTAGACTTTTATTTATATACATATAGATGTATATAAAAGAAAACATTATTAAAAGACTTAAGTTTATAGTTTGGAAGATTCCTTTCTTTTCTACTTACAGTTTCTACCTGTAACTTTGGGTGAACTCCTGTGCAGCACATGGGAGTCATTCTCATCCAGAGGCATGACTGCAGCAGACAGGGGAGATGGCATAGGGACCCCTTACACTGAGGGCAGCTCCAGGTTTGCTCTCTTGCCATAACTGGCTATGCCTCAGAGATCCTTCTATCAGTGAACTGAAAGACAATGTTGATCACTATGTGTTTTCCATAAAGTGCCAGAAATTACCATATCCTAAGAAATTAAGGCTTGCGAAAAAAGAAATGACTCTGTCATATGGTAAATATTTTGCCACAATAATTCTCTCTTTTCTGCTCAAATGAGGCCCGATGACTCCTCATGGAGCACTGTGGTGAGTCTTACATCTAAGTGTACTTAGTGCCTCAACCATAGGTGTCTATCTCAATCTGTTCCCAGTGCTTTAGCAGTCTCACTTTTCTAAGATCAGTAAGACCTCATCTTCTGATGGCAGACAGCCAGATTGTTGCCAACTTTGAAATAAAAGGAAATTCATTTGGAGCCAGCCAGTCCTGAACAGGGTCACATAGGTTCAGTCAAAAGGCTCATTTCTTCTGAGCTGTGAAACATTATCTAAATACACTTTAGATTTCAGGGGTGTCTGGGTAGCTCAGTTGGTTGAGCATCCAACTCTTGGTTTCCGCTCAGGTTGTGATCTCATGGGTTGTGAGATAGAGCCCTGCGTCCAGCTCCACACTCATTGGGGAGTCTGCTTGAAGATTCTCTCCCTCTGCCCCTCCCCCCCACTTGCACGTGCTCATGTTCTCTCTAAAACAAATAAACC